CTCAACTCAGAAAAAAAGGAATAGGTACTGTACAGTCCCCATTATTTTTAAAATTAGTTTTCTTAGTGTAGGCGCAACGTGCCTCAAGGAGGCCCATGATCAGGATTCATCACTGAATTTGGTCCGCTGGATGGATCATTAGTTTCCCCGGCTCAGGCCAGGAACTGACAGGGAGTGCAACATGAATGCTGATCCGTACCCATCAGAGAGGTTACCCAGGTCTCTAACATGAAAAAGCCAATCTTATCCCAGTGCATCTGATTTTCTTTCAAAGTCACTAAAGCAGTGTCAGTTAACTTACCTCTAACCACTGTAAATCCTACACTTTCCCAGAGCCAGTGATAGAATCTGGGGTTCTTGATCACCACTGTTCTACTGCTAACTGGTAAATATTTGTGTAACACACTGGGAATGTGTGTCAATCTTCCCACAGTGGCTGGCCTACAAAGTGCCTCACTTGTCAGAGTATGCTTGCATACCACTCTGTGCCCAATCCAGAGGATGAGACTCCATGAGAGTGTTTTGGTAGAAGAGCAATGACAGATTCCTTCACAAAGGTTCCCTCCAATTGACAAGTCATGTTGTCAATGCTCAAGTGCAGGGCTGTTCTTGTTGTGCTCACTTTCAGTAAACTTTTAAATGGGGATAAAGTGTTATAAACAAAGAATTAAAACTTTTATTAAAGCTAATATTTAAAATCAAATTTACACAAGTTAAGAGGGAATGTACTGTACATCTGGGGTCAGGCTTGAGTTATGAGGGATTACAAGTGTCGGTTACAAGGTTCACCGGATACATACGTAGTATATAACCAAGCATAGACCCAGATTACTAAATCACTTCACAGCCACTCTCACTCTTCAGGAGGGCAAACTAGCAGTAACAGCAGCAGTTTCTCCCTGATTCCCAAGTAGGTACAGGTCCCTTTTTCCTGATTCTAGAGAGCTGTCCACTGAGGTACACAAAACCAGGAAATCAGCAAACAAAAATTATCTTCAATGGCAGTTAAGATTGCAGCAAAATGTTAGCTCAACCCTGCTACGTCACTCAGCAGTGTGAAAATCAACACACCTGAGCAAGGTAGTTAAGACAACCTAAGGCCCCGTGTACAGCCAGCATTAGGTCAACAGACAAATTTCTCTGCTGATCTGGCTACCACTTCTTGGGCAGGTAGATTACCTACACTGAAGCACTACAGAAGCAAGTAAAGACAAGCCTTGAGACAATCAGATGTGCTGATCTGTTGCTAGTATTGATATAAATGCACTGTTTACATTAGAATGTAAGTTTGACAAAGTTGGGATACATAATCGCTTTTCGGTATCTATTAGAGATGGAAAAGAAAGCTTTGTGGCATTCTAGAGTTAGTTGATTGTATTACCTACTATGCTATTAATTAACACTAAGGTAGAAAGGATGCACAAGTCTTTCATTTTAAGACTGTCCAATCTTTTAATGTTTTGGGTGGTATCCAGCCACAACCTTAACGGTCACTAAACAGTTGACTTGCTCATTCTATTAAGCAACAGAGTGGGACAGACCACACCACTCACCTAATTTACGAATTTACAAGAGAGTTGGGACTGAGCAAGAATTTGAGTACAGTTAATTGAGAAAGCTAGCAATATAGAATTGGACAAGAGTAAAATGATGGAAAGAAGGAAAGACTGTTTAGAAACTAATAATGGTTGGAGTGCTTTGACAGATTCTTTGCCATGTAATATTGTAAATGAAAGTATTATATATATTAGTTAGAAATGGTGTTTAAACAATTTGTTTTTTATTCTCTTTGTAATAAGTAGTTACAATATGAAAATCCATAGCACAGTGAAAGGAACACTTCCCATTTTAATGAGGCTTTGCCTTTATGGCATATAAACTCTACTTTAATTCACATTTTAAACAGTAAACTTTTTCTATATATCTGAATTAGCAAACCAAGTAAGCCTGCACAAAGATCCCAAACCAAAAGAAAAAAAAAACTAAATACCGTATATACTCGTTCATAAGCCTAATTTTTTTTGGTAAAAAAGGGAAGCATTAGAGAAGGGGGTCGGCTTATGAACAGGTATAGAGACGGAGAGGCGGGACACAGCCCCTCCCCCCAACAGAGGGAGCAAGAAGAGGCAGCAGAGCCAGAGGGGAAGAGGTGGAGCCAGAGTCTCTCCGCTTCTGGCCACGCTGCTCTCCCCCCAGCTGCAGCTCCGGGGCTGGCAGGCTGCAGCCGGCCCCACCACCCAAAGCAGGCTGTGGCCATGCTGCCTGGCCTGCCGGAGCAGGCTGCGGCTGTGCTGCCCAGACTGCCAGAGCAGCTCCATCCAGGCCAGAGACATCCTCGCCAGATAAGGTGGGAAGGGATGGGATGGGGAGAGTGTGGGGTCCCCAGGCTACGGGTAGGGTCACGTGGGGGATGGTCACAGGGGTTACTCACCTGACCCCCAGCTTCTCCCCCCAAAAAATTTCCCCACCAGTTGCTGCCCAGCCCATCAGGGTAAGCAGCTGGCGCGCCGGGACACTTTGTTTACTTCGGTTTACCTCTATGCCTGCGGACACTCGAGGTAAATAAACCATCTCGGCCCGCCAGCGGCTTATCCTGATGGCCCGGGAGCCAAAGTTTGCCAACCCCTGAATTATAGGGTCGACTTATGAATGGGTCATAAAAATTTTCTATTTTTACTTATCCATCTTTTGGGGGGGCTGGGGGAGAGTAGGCTTATAAACGAATCAGCTTATAATCAAGTATATACGGTACCTGGGAGTCTTAAACCATGTATGGAGGAAAGTCAATGTGCCAACAGAAGATGTTTAACTAAGTTTGATTTACAAGAAGGTAATTAAAAACAAGACATTTATGCTATAAATAGGTGAAAATTAAAGAACCACAGTTTCACCTAAGTACTACCACTGTCACTGATGTTACCACAAAGCAGTGTTTTCAAAACCAGGAGACTAGACTGTAGAAACTTCCTGTTACAGACTGGTGGCTCAAACTCAAGGAAAATGAAAATAAAAATAAAAAACTGCTTAGACCTTTGCTAAACCAGAACTTGGTTCTAGTGAATGTTAAACACAAATGATGAGATCCTCACCTGCACTTCAGCCCCTTTACAAAAAATGAATAGGGTGGAATGACATAAAGGGGCTCTAAAAGCCAGAGATATGGCCTGGGGAGGAGACTCTCCTGGCACAGGAACTGCAAATGTCCAACCTAAGGCTGTTTTCTGAAGACCCCTTTGCAAGCCCTGTGTAGAAGATATGCCAGGGACACAGTACTTCCATTACAGAGACCACGCAGTGCTGTACTTCATAAGCAGGTGGAGACAAGCTGCATTTGTCACAGCATATGTCTGCACTACAGTTAGCTCAATATATCTATGCCCAAATTAATCCCTTTATTAGTCCAGTTTGAATGAGAGCAGCCACACCCGGAAATACTGGAGCCGCTGTGTCCACACCGGCACTGCACTCATTCATGTGTGGCACTAAGACTTCTAGGAGGACATTCCATGGTACATTCTTTGCACTGCAATAAGCTGAGATGCTCTAGGAACTCTTTCTCAGTGAATTGTGGGAGAACTTCCGTCTTTCCTGAGCACAAAGAGGGAATTGCTGGAAGACCTTTGTATTTGTGGATAATCCAAGCACTATATCCAGATGCACAAACACTCATTTCTCAACCTGTGTATTATATGATTTTAACATTAGCTTTAATAACATTTTTATTTCTTTTATTAGGTCACTTCTATATTTGAAATGCCGCATCGGCGCAGCTGCAGTGTTTAAGTGAAGATGTGCTATGCTGACTGAGAGCTTCTCCTGTAAGCTTAGTTGACCCACCATCATGAGAAGTGGTAGCTATGTCAACCGGAGAAGTGAGTGTGGATTTTTCACACCCCTGAGCAGCGTTATTATACCGACATAAGTCTGTAGTGTAGACATGTCCTAAGAGTTCCACCTTCATATTGCGTACAACACAGCTCCGGGCTATGGGGTTTTTTTTGGCAAGGATGACAAACTCCTTTGCACCATTTGAATTCTGGGCAGCTCGACAGTTTTGGCATAACTCGACAGTCCTGTAAGTCTATCTAAGAGTGTCTCTTCATCGCAAAATTAACTTGAATTAAAACTTGATTGCCTCTAACTTGAGTCCTTTCTATACACATAACCTCTTAATTACCATGCAATGGTATTTTCAGTTCGGATTGGATGATTTGTCAGGGAGTATAGGCTAAAGCTTGAGGTAACACAGTTCAGCAGCTGCTACCATGACCACATTTGCGTTGTGGACATAGAATAGCCCCACTTGAGTGCTACCAGTCCTCACAGGACTTCCAGCAATTCCCTCTGTGTGCATACAGTGTCTCATAACAGAATTATGCATCATTTCTCCAGCAAAAACTTTTGCCCCTTTTTTAGAAATGTTCACACACAAAATAACTCAAAACTTTAGCTTTTAACCATTCCTAAATTAAAATTAAGCTTCTTGAAAAACAGAACTCAAAAATAAAACAACAAATCTTAACTCCAGTGATACATTTTTCTAATTCTTTTCTACACTTAAGTTGCTGCCTGTGGTACACAACTACATGTTCTGCTTAAGAACTACCCTCCATCTAAGAGCTTTCAACCCACATCTCTTATACTTAGAATTTTTAAAACCCACTGACCATTTGTAAAAGCGCACCAGCTCAGCGGGGGAGAAGACAGTGTTTTAGGAGACTTATCCCAGTAATTCCCACAGGCTCTATAGGGGAGGGGTGCAGAATGCTGCAAGGTTTACCCAGTTACTCACACGGGCTGTTATAGAGAAGATGTTACCCTGGCTACTCACATACGCTCTGAGGAGGAAGGGAGGGAATTATCCCAGGGGGTTACCCCAGTTACTCACACGGGCTCTGTGGGGGGAACGGCGTCCCGGGAGGGGGGAGCGGTGTCCCGGGAGGGGTAACCCCGGTTACTCACACGGGCTCTGTGGGGGGAGGTTTACCCCAGCTACTCACATGGGCTCCAAGGTTTTGCTGAGCCAGGATTTCAGGGCCTCGAAGTTTTCTATGATCATTTTCGCCACCATCCAGAGCGGCCCGGGCCCCCCGCCTCCCTGGCAGCAGCAGCGGCGGTTCCGCCCCGGCCGCAGGCCGGGTCCCAGCTCCTCCGCGCCCCTCGGCCGAGCTGCCTGCCCAGCTCAGTCTAGATCCCCGGAGACGGGACAAGGGCCCGACGCCGCGGAGGGCTCGGAACCCGGCGGGCCCCCGCTCTCGCCGCAGCCTCCCCGAAGATCCCGACCGCACGGGGAAGATCCCGGACAAACGAAGGACCCGAGCCCGGATCGTGGCTCCCAAACGCGCGGTCCCCGCCCCTCCCCCTTAGCCGCAACACGAACAGGTAAGATGGCGGCCCTGAAATGTCGCGAGAATATAAAAGCCTCGCGAGGAAAGAGAGGGCGCTGGGAATGAGCCCGAGGGGCGGGGCGCCAAGGAAAAGCCGGGGCGGGGCGAGAGAGGGAGACGCGGGGCAGCGGGGATCCGCCCTGTGGCGCTCGCGGGGCCGCTCAGGGAGAGAACGGGCGGGGCGGTGGAGTTTCATGGGGCTCACTGCCCAGGCCCAGGCCCTGCGGAAGGTGTTGCTCTTAGGCTCTGGCGGGGAATGGGTTTTGTTGGTAGCGTTCCACCAGTGTTTCCCCCCAGGAATTGAAATGGCGGGGGGGTTGAATATACAGAGGGGTGAGGGCCAAGGCGTGGTGAGCCCGTGAGGGGGAGGATGAGCTGTGTGGCTCCCTTGTACGTTTTGCGGCCATTTAATTAGATTTAGTTCGTGTTTTAAAATCACACAGATTAAAATTGGCTACTCAAGCCTATTGTTGTGAAGCACTACAGCTGCATCCTTCTTGGTGTCTTGTAATTTTGCACAACTCTGTTCATGAACATCTCAAATGCAGTGCCTACGTCTTTGGTGGCTTCTTGTGTCTCCGGTATTTCCAGTCCTTCATGACATGCTCATGATCAGGCAGAATGTATTCTATTTTTTCAGAATACAGAATTCTATTCAATGAGGATGAAGAACACTCTACTTGTGATGGGGAGTTGCAAGAGATTAATCCCTACGTCTTTCATTTTAGGAAACCTAGCACAAAGAATGGGTTGAACCACTAGTGATGATAAAGAAGTTGTTGAAGTCAAATCTTCATTCGTTCATCATATGATATTCCACTCTGTGTTCAAATTCTCTATTCTGTCCTGATCACACAGCAGCCCTGTCGCTGGCAACACTTCACTCTGCTCAACTGTCAGTGTTTTATAAGTTTCAGAGGGATAGCCATGTTTTATGACAGTCATCTGTAAAAGCTTTATGTAGAGGTTGAGTAAAATCCAGAAGTCGCTGTTGTCGATTTGTAAGAATGAAGTATGTGTGCTTTTTCAGATGGCTTAACGAAGACTTCTTTTCCTCTTCCCTTGAGTCAATATAAGTGCCTTAATTAGTCAACTTCTGAACCAAGCCTTTGCTTCTTCCAGTATGTTTTCAATGGATTTCTCTCTGATTGAGCCAAGTGTTGTTTCTATTGCTGGACAAAGATCTACTACTGCTGTAGCAGATGTGTTGTTTAATGACCCAAGTGGTTTCAACGGTAGAGTTATAAGAGACAGAATGGCGATAGTCTTCTCTGAACTTAGTAGCAAAAGTAGTCCACCAGCCTCACTACTTAGATCCGTCCCATCTTGATAGATGCTTTCCAAAGCCAGTAGTAATGGTTGCAGTAATTTTAAGACAACAGTCATGGATCGCTCATGAAAAAGCCAGCAGGTTTTGCCAAATTGGACTAATTTGTACTTTATTCCCAGTGTATCTTCTATTTTTTCCAAGACGTTTAGTCCCTCAGAACTCTTGCTGAAAAAAAGAGTATAATGAAGATGTTAAATGTATGGCTTTTTTAATGTCTTTTGGAGATTCTGCAGCTCATGCTAGTGCTAGTTGGAGTAGATGGCTTCTGCAGTGTATATAGGAGACATTAGGGTTACACTTTCCTCTGAGCAAAGCTTGTACTCCACTATGTCTTCCAGAGAAGTCTGGAGCTTCATCAAATGCATAAGCAGCCATCTGTTTGAAGTCCAGTTTAGAAGCATTTAACTCTTCTATAATGCGAGTTGTCACAGGTGCAGCCGATATGTCTTCTAATACCTGAACATCTACAAATGCGTCTTCTGGACGGCCACTGACATCAAGATAATGTATGCAATGACGTAATACTTGACGCCAATTTCTATCGGTGCATTCATCAGCCCACGTGGGCACATTTTTTGAATGTGAAGAGAGAGTTCTTAACTTTTTCAACTGCTGAGTCCTTCATTGTTGTATTGCATGCTTCTAATCAGTCAGCTAAGTTTCTTGCAGAAAGATAGCGAGCATCTGTTGGTGTTGTTAGGAACCAATATTGAACTTCAGGATTAACAAGTGACAATGGACTTAACATTGGCCTCTGGCTTGTAGCATGTGGTATCTCTTGCTTAAATAGAAAGTATGATGCAACAGCGACATTTGTTTGCATAAACTGTGTTCTGTCTCCAGCATTCTTAATAGCCTTATTAAGTACTTCTAAAATTGTCTTTGACAGTGACTGTCTTATAAGGCTTTCTGCATGTCAATGCAGTTCAGAGGCTTGGTGTTTTGCAGCCTTTTCACGTAGGCTCTCATCATTGGCTTTGCTGATTAGTCTGGCTGTCAAGATTCCTTCCCCACTCTGAACTCTAGGGTACAGATGTGGGGACCTGCATGAAAGCCCCCTAAGCTTATCCTTACCAGTTTAGGTTAAAAACTTCCTCAAGGTACAAACTTTGCCTTGCCCTTGAACCCTATGCTGCCACCACCAAACATGTTAAACAAAGAACAGGGAAAGAGCCCACTTGGAGACGTCTTCCCCCCAAAATATCGCCCCAAGCCCTACACCCCCTTTCCTGGGGAAGGCTTGATAAAAATCCTCACCAATTTGCATAGGTGAACACAGACCCAAACCCTTGGTTCTTAAGAATAATGAAAAAGCAATCAGGATATTAACAGAAGAATTTTAATTAAAGTAAAAGAATCACCTCTGTAAAATCAGGATGGTAAATACCTTACAGGGTAATCAGATTCAAAACATAGAGGATCCCTCTAGGCAAAACCTTAAGTTACAAAAAGACACAAAAACAGGAATATACATTCCATTCAGCACAACCTATTTTACCAGCCATTTAACAAAAGTAAATCTAACGCATTTCTAGCTAGATTACTTACTAACTTAACAGAAGTTCTGAAGAGCATTCCTGACATGTTCCCAGCAAAAGCATCACACAGACAGACCCTTTGTTCACCTCCCCTCCAGCTTTGAAAGTATCTTATCTCCTCATTGGTCATTTTGGTCAGGTGCCAGCAAGGTTATCTTAGCTTCTTAACCCTTTACAGGTGAAAGGATTTTGCCTCTGACCAGGAGGGATTTTATAGTTCTGTATACAGAAAGGTGGTTACCCTTCCCTTTGTATTTATGACACTGGCAAACCAAGTTCCTTCACTTTTACTATATAAATCTATGGTATGGCCACATCTTGACTTCTGCCTGCAGTTCTGGTCACCCCATCTGAAATGAGATGCCCTTCTCTGTACCTTTCCCATTTCCAGTGTATCTAAAATGATTAGGGGTGTGGAACAGGTGAGAAGATATTAAAAGGACTGGGACTTTTCAGCTTGAAAACGAGAAGACGAGGGAATATGATTGAGGTCTATAAAATCTTGACTGGTGTGGAGAAAGTAAATAAGAAAATATTATTTACTCCTTCACATAACACAAGAATTAGGAGTTACCCAATGAAATTAATAGGCAGCAGGTTTAAAACAAACAAAAGAAAGTACTTCTTCACACAACGCACAGTCAACCCATGCAATTTTTTGCCAGGGGATGTTATGAAGGCTAAAACTATTACAGGGTTCAAAAAGAACTAGATAAGTTCATGGAGGATAGGTCCATCAATGGCTACTAGCTAGGATGGGCAGGGATACAACACCATGATCTGAGTGTCCCTAGTCTCTGTTTGCCAGAAGCTGGGAGTGGATGATATGGTATGGAACACTCGATAATTACCCTATTCTGTTCATTCCCTCTGAAGCATCTGGTATTATCCACTCTTGGAAGACAGGTGTCAGGGTTCCCTCCCCACTCTGAACTCTAGGATACAGATGTGGGGACCCATATGAAAGCCCCCTAAGCTTATTTTTACCAGCTTAGGTTAAAAACTTCCCCCAGGCACAAATCCTTTGTCCTTGGATGGTACACTGCTACCACCAAGTGATTTAGACAAAGAATCAGGGAAAGGACTACTTGGAATTCCTATTCCCCCAAAATATCCCCCACAGCCTCACGCCCCCTTTCTGGGAAGGCTTGAGAATAATATACCAACCAAAGAGGTAAACTAGATTCTTAAAAAACAGAACTTTATTATAAAGAAAAAAAAAGTAAAAGAAGCACCTCTGTAAAATCAAGATGGAAGGTAACTTTACAGGGTCATCAGATTCAAAACACAGAGGATTCCCCTCTAGGCAAAACTTTAAAGTTACAAAAAACAGGGATAAACCTCCCTCTTAGCACAGGGAAAATTCACAAGTTGAAAACAAAAGGTAATCTAACACGCCCTGCCTTATTTACTTACTCTTTTTGCAATATTGAAACTCACTTTAGGATGGTTTATAGGAGAAGGAGGTTTCTGACCTGGTGCGTCTCTGCTTCCCAAGAGAACACACAGACAAAGAGCACAAATAAAGCCTTAACCCATCAGATTTGAAAGTATCTTCTTTCCCCATTGGTCCTTTTGGTCAGGTGCCAACCAGGCTTCTTAACCCCTTACAGGTAAGGAGGAATTCTGGGCTACCTTTAGCTGTATGGTTATGACAACAGGATACTGGGCTAGATAGACCATTGGTCTGACCCAGTATGGCCGTTCTTATGTTCTTATGTAAAAATTAATTACAGTATAATAATAAAAATGTTTAGTGCAGAAACTCCCCAAGATAACAACCTCTCAAGACAACAACAATGTGAGATAATGACCTTTGAAAATAATGTATTTTAAAAATCTTGGCCTCATAGGAAATGTATATTTATATCAGTTTCCCAGTCACAAATCTAACATTCTGGAGCTAAGTCACTAAAACATAGTCCAAGAAGCAAATGTCCCTTTAACATGCCCCCTCTCTTCTCCCTCCACTACATCCCACTTATAGTTGTTGTCCTTGAGACCCAGAGTTCAGAGGTGCTTTCACATGAATTCACCTCCCACCCTGGAGAGTGGAGGGGAAAAGGCACCTTGCTTGCTCCTCCAGCCACTCACCACTCGCTCTGACCGCTCGCTC